TTATTTATACTTACTAACAAGAGATAAAAAAATGCGAAAAGAAGCTTAATTATGACAAAATCTTAAAATGTTCTCAAAGACCAATTTGTATGTGGACAACAACAATAATGAATGTAATGAAATTACAACATTTCCAAAGAAGCATATTAATGATGCTTACTCATTCAGTCTATTTAACACTTACTTATACTCAAAATATTATTGACTGAATGTATGAATATGGACAGTAATCTTGAATTTATTTAAATATAACTTATCTTAATAGATCATATTTCATGCCAGTGAGCTAATCCTAAAAAACATATCAATAGAAAGAAATACCTCTGTATTAAAAATTGTCAATTCTCGTGATTCTAAACTTTTCAAAAAGAATCTAACTATTACTGTAGGGAGAAAAAAACGCTACATTAGAATTTACATCCACTTTCCCCCTCAAAGAAGAAGCTGTTACCTAACCATATATACAGCAACAACTTTCTATTTCTATTGATGGTACGCATACCTGTCAATTCACATTTCCTTGTTAAGACTGTAAAATTAGCAGTTAACTTAAATTTGATAAAATTTGGATGTGTATAAATATATAAAGCAAAAATGAAAGTCAAGTTTTGATTTGAGCGCTGATTTTAAAAAAATTACAAAAATTGATATATCTATAGGATAAAAAAAATTTTGACACAATTCCTGGTTATTGTTCAGCTGGTAATCTTCTTTTTACCCATTAATGTACTAGTATCAAGAATGTTATCTTTGAATATGGGTATACAGGGTTATAAGCCGAGCTGAATTGGAGCAGGGTTATCATCTCTTTGAGGACTCCTTGACATGCTGATTTAAAAGCTCTAATAATTGTATCTTTTGTCTACCATAAACATTTTTAAAATTTTTGTAGGTGTGTATGTACCAATTCGAGATGGGATCACTTTCACATTATTAACTTGTGGCTAACTCATATCATGAAAATTATAGGGAGTACAACTAGAATAGCTTTTTTATAGTGCTATCTGTGCTAGTGTAAAGCAGCTTAACAAATATCCAACCATGCAGTTGAAACTAGATAAAGCCTTCAAGGAAGAGTTATATATATATTTATCATGTATGCTCTTTGTCAACATGTTACATATAAACAATGATACTCAAAAAGATATCCACATGAGAACCAACAAACTGTAAATGAACATCAACATGAAATAGTTTGAATTTTGAATCCTAAACCACTGTACTTCACTTAACCACACCATACCATGTGCTATCCTGACAAGACAATAGTTTTTGTCAATCATTAAGAAATCTTATTCCTGTTTAGTGGCTTCCTGCATTATTCCTTTTTTAAAATGCTTATTGGCAGCATGAGAGAAATTGCCTTATTCTTTAGACACAACAGGAGGAATTTGACCAGGGTTATACAAAATTGAAAGCCTGGCTCCTGGCGCACAATGACTGAATTAAAAATGTGGCTGCAAATTTGATGTCAGAAATTCTTGACTCGGAAAAATGTGCCTGCACATGTTGGAGTGTGTGCGTGGGTTTGTCAAAGACTGGGCTTGACTCTGAGCTGCAGATTTGATGGGTGCCTAAAATTAACTTATCTCAGTAGAAATAAATTACATGTTGTCTCAATTGTCATTTTTTATTGTCATTTTTTATTCGACACCATATTGTTTCAAAGGAATAAAAAGTGGAATGCATAAATATGATTTAAATGTTATAGGTTGATTTGAGTCTTGAATATATGTAAATAGTCTTCAGTCTTGAATAATTTGATGACAATTCAGGTGATTAAATTGTAGAAAATTCTCACAGCATGCAACTAGATTAATTTAAAGGGGGGACCTTCACTATCCTTTCAATCAGTAATAGTGCTCACAGCTCATCGTTGAAATTTGAGCCTTCCAATCGATGTGTATCCATAATTATTCACGTTTGAAAGTTAAAAATTTGACTCAAATTGCCATTAAGCTTATAGAAAACACATTTATAGTGAAATTTCTAGTTGAAGGGATTATTCGATTTTTATGCGTTTAAGTACTTCAAAGCACAAAAAGAGACCCAAATCGATCTACGAAAATGCTGACAGTTACCTTTAAATCAGGGTTCATTTTCTCATCTTGATTATTGTGAATATTGGGCCTGAGTGGTGTATCGAAAGCCAATAAAAATGAAACCTTATTTATGAAACTGACTTCTGACTTCTTTCCGATTCAAAACAAGAGTTAAATAGAAGATGTACCGTGACATGAAAGATACTGTCATTTTTTTTTTATCACAAATATAAATGGATTGAAGAAAAAAATCACCTAAAAAGTTTTTTGAATTTTTTCTGTTATTTATATGAGAATTGGAGTAACAGTCTCATAATAGTACTGTTAGTCTTAAAATGTCTTTACTTTGATAAAAATATAAACATAAGCATACACTATGTCTTCAAAATAGTTTTTAAAGAGGATAATTTTCAGCCAAAATTTAGACTATGGGGATTTCTATCCAAAGTAAACTTACAAAAACTGATATTTTTATCAACGCGATTACATTCTACGATCAACTGTGTAAAATTTTCGATGATTTACAGTAGGCAGGTTACCAGGGTTCAATATAGATTGAAAAATTTGATTAACAATTGATCACAACATACTTCAGTTTGAGCTAATCAAGTTCAATTTTATTCGCTTTCTAAAAAATTTGGCAATCTAGTTGTATTTTTTCAGATCAATCTTGCCACTGACATTAGTTCTGCTGAGAGTTAACGTATATTTCTAGATTTGGTAGAAGAGGTCTCACAAACAATATAAAGTTTACGTTGATTCACAAACAATCGTGATAATTCTTATTTTGGCTTATCATGCGAAATATTAAATAGCATTTGAATAGTCATTTTGATTTGCTAACTGCCATGCAATGTACTATGAATTGAGCCCTGTAGGCACTGATATATTATTCTTCAAAATATCAGTCCCAAAAAAAACCAAAATCATGAAGAAACTGATTCCCGAGGCATGAAATAGATCGAGGCATGAAATAGATCGAGAACATCTCAGTCATCTGACTGAATTTTTTTTCTTCTTAAATATCTATTACTAGTAGTCCACATGCAATTATGTTTCATGAATGAAAAATTCCTTTGCAGTAATTGATAGAGACTGTGAAACTTGTAGTGAAATTTTATGATACCATAGGAGATGAAAAATTCAAGATTTGAATCAGCATTAAGGTCATGATCAGCCTTTTTTTAGTACCAAACCAAACGGTATTATTGAATCGGTGAAAGAAAAATCTGGTAAAGTGACAAGCAAACAACAGATACTCAGATATGGATTAATGCAGAACATTCCAAATAAGGCTGACTTTAAGGGCAATGAATAAAAATTGCGTTACGAGATATGACTCCAGTTGTCAATAGCTGGTTGTTGACATACTGATTTCAACTTCTCTTCCGCTTCAAACGGGGCTGATTAGCCCTCACGCGGACGATCTGAATCAATGTTTTATTGCTAATATCGAGTTATATATGCATCAAAGATTCGCTGATTTACACGTTCGACATATTTCAATGCCGTTACGAGTTGTAAAAGTCTCAGATTCTGATGTAAACACGCCATAATCGCTGATCAAAAATCTTTGTTATACCTGTTCCTTTTCTTCTGTGGAGGCCGCCATCAAAAACACCATTGTACTGCGCATGCTCAGTCAGCTATTCTCTATGCCTTCTTTTCCCGCGTTTTCATTTCCGCAATGAACCATTTCAGCTTCAGAATATTAACACTTGAACTATTTAAACTATAGACTCGACATGTTATGTTTGTTACAAAAATTGACAATTGACCACTATTTCGAGACTGTTATAGAAAATATATAACATTATATTTTAAAATATACTCCTGGTTTATTTTAACTGACTCAATTTTGGCACCGCATCTGGAACATGTGCCTAATATCCCACTATTTATCTCTTTGGCCGAGAGTCTAAAAGGTTTTTCAGAAAAAAAAGCACATGTTAGAATCTTAGGCCTATAGGAAATTTAGATTGTCTTGTCAAATTCTCCGAAAATTCGGTGAGAACACAATGGATAGGAATTTCGAAGGCCATTAGCATAGGCCTATTAGGCTAATATACATGTGTAGTTCTATGAACTTGTCTACCAAGCACACACTCATTTACATTCAAATATTATCAAAACAAATAAGTAGGGCTAGAGCTCTGCATAAACAGGACTTTTAAGCGCAAAACAAATGTGTACAGCAAGCAAAGTATAATATAGGCCTATCTATAATTCTAAGACCTAATAATAGGCCTACTTTAATTCTTTGGGACTGTTGATTAAATTTGGTCAACATAGAACATAACTCTGACGCTCATAGCCAGATATAATAGGCTACGATTGATATAGGCCTAGTGATTAAAAGTAGGCCTAATCCAGACATAGGCCTAACAGAAAAGGCTGCAGAATAGCCCACATTAGTAAGAAGGCCTTACTAAAATAAAAATTTATTATTTTTATTAACAATCGGTACCGTATTCATGTTTAGGCCTAATTTGTAATCATCCCAGCAATTAGCTATATAGGCCTAACCAGCAACAGGTAGAGCAAGTCAAAGTAAATAGGTCACCATTCATGTAAATAATCATAACTCAGAAACCGGTTAAATCTTCCATAATATATAACATATTATCAATATCAATATACCAATTCAAAAAATTATTACAACTCACAATAAAATAAACGCCCATTTGAAAAAGCTTGTTAAAAGAAGGATATTCGACAGAACGGCCATAAATTTCGTCTAAGAGGCTAATCATATTTTCGTCGACTTAAACCGTTTCTGAATTTTTGGGTTTTTATTTTGACGGGTTCAATCCATGAATGAACATGAAAATATTAGTAATATTCTGCCTTCTAGTGTCTGGAGCTATAACTCTATTAGATATACTAACTTGAAAAACAAGATACTAACTTGAAAATTCAACATACTAACTTGAAAATTCAACATACTAACTTGAAAATTCAAGTTACTAAATTCAACATACTAAATTGAAAATTCAAGATACTAACTTGAAAATTCAACATACTAGCTTGAAAATTCAAGATGCTAACTTGAAAATTCAAGTTACTACCTTGAAATTTCGAGTTACTACCTTGAAAATTCAACATACTAACTTGAAAATTCAACATACTAACTTGAAAATTCAAGTTACTTAATTCAACATACTAACTTGAAAATTCAACATACTAGCTTGAAAATTAAAGATACTAGCTTGAAAATTCAACATACTAGCTTGAAAATTAAAGATACTAACAAATTAAAGATACTAACTTGAAAATTCAAGTTACTAACTTGAGGGGCAGACTGGTTTGCTCCAATAATTTGAAGGTTTGAGATGTCAGGCGGAGCCTGACTCCAAGCACCGAAGGCGCGAGTATGCGAAAACAATTTACTTGTGTGGCCGAGGTTTTTTCGGTCGCTGCCCAACAGGACCAATGTTTCGTAGTAGGCTATTTAAAAAAACATATTTTTTTGGAAGAATTGTCGAAAAACAATGCATAAACATGAATTCAAAACTTTTATTGGATGACAACAGTCGTTGCCTTTAAAACAATATTTTACATTTTATTTAGTTAATACACCGGGAATCATTTTACCCTGGATACGTTAGTAGCGCAATTGTTCCAGCTAGTATACAAGATCTTCTATGTAGAATAGCAGTATTATTACTTTTAATCCTTTACAATAATCAAAGAAAGTTGCTCTAGAGAAAACCGAGATTATATCGTTCATTAAAACACAAATGTGTTGTGTATGTAGCCAAGGGCAATCAATAGTGGTCGTTGATTCTAACTATGGTCGGTGCTCTATAGTAAGGGTAATCCGAAAAGGATCAGTGCCAAGAGATTTGTCAAGAAGCAGGTATCTTCATTGTGTGCGCCGACATTTAAAATGGAAATGGCAACACAAGAGTTTAATTTCATCTTCAATTCGACACTTGAAAAAGATTATAATATCGAAAACCGGTTCATGTCATTTCTGTAAGTTATTTTTTTTCTATTTTTCTCACACTATTGTTAGTGTTATTTATTATTTAAAATATACAATTTTGCACTTTCAATCCAGTCTAAACCCAGTCTCCCAGGAGTAAGAGCCCTTTGTTAAGATGCTCTGTAGACACTGCAGACGTGTCTCCATCATCTGCTGAAGGAAGGTCAACCATCGAGAACCTTTAAACCCAGTCCAGAGGAATGAAATCCTCAACTACCGACAAGAGAATTAGAAATCCCAACAGACGCAGGTAAAGGCTAACATATAGAGGGTATCCCTTTACTCTTTTTTCCTTATTATTCTTCTCCAACTGATCCTGTCCCAACCAACCCCACTTCCGTATGCGTATGCGTATGTATTGGCCAGCATGCCAAGCCTGCCTCTACCATCGTACCAAGTAGAAAATTGCAAGTCAGCAGTTTAAGGTGTGTTCTAGCGTAAAAGAATCATGTGTCCAATTGGAGCACACTGCCACTATGAAGGGATATGTTGATAAAATCAAAAGACATTGCAAGATATTCTTGCAAGTTCGACAAAACTTTTGTTTTTGATATTAAGGGCTTAAAATGTGTGTACCAAATGTTTCATGTGTCAAAAATGCATCATTTTCAGAGAGTTCACATATTTTGTCAGTTTGATACATTTCTCATCATACATTAAAAAAAATATGTATATATATTGTCCACTGTAGCACGGTCTATCCAGACCAACTTGAACCAGATCACAGCCAGTTCAACAACCAGAACTCATCACCCCATCGACAACCATTCTATTCGTTATCAACACCTTTTATACGTACAAAAATCGACCTAAATCATCGTCAAACCTAATTGCAAAGATTGAAACCCCCTAGATAATGAAATTCATTCACATGACTTTGAACCTGCTTCCGTTCTCAACATCGCTGCCAGTTAGCCCGCGTTCAACCACGCCCCAACCACAAAACTCATCTCAACAGTCAAATAGACCTCCCCGAGCGCTAAGATCAATATTATGTCGTGTATTTATAAAAAGCCAAGCATGGCCTCCAATCCTTCAATAATTTGACTTTGGACTTGAACGACGCAACGATACTATGTACCACCCTCAAGAAGAAATAGAACCAGTTGATAACCTCCATTAGTCTCCAGTGAGAGTAAACAGTTAGCGCTAGTTGGGGTACAAGGAAGGGGGGGGGGGGGGGCATGGAATTTCCCCACTTCAAATCTGGCATTTAGAATTATGATTTTTGGCTTAGAATATGTGTCGGAATGTGCCAAATAAATTCAATAATTCAAATATTATCTTGATGGAAAACCCTTTGAGACACTCCGCATAGGAGGCTTATGCCCGTGTGCTTCAACAGAGCTGTCGCATCTCAACCTCGACAGTTAGTTTCGAACTGACGAATTGAAAAATACTGAATGAGTTATTGCCCTTGTTTGTGAAATTTGTTGTGGACACGATAGAGAGCTGGTTTCTTGATGGATTTTGATAAACTTTGATGTGAATCTATTAGGATGAACCGTATTGAAAAAGTTGAAAAATATTTGCTATGAGTTGTTGCCCTTGAACTTGAAAACGCGTTCAATTTTTATTTGAAATTATGTTGTGGACACTACAGACAGCTGATTTTGTTGATGGATTTTGATAAATTTGGTGTCATTGTTTGTAATCACCTAATGATGAACTTTATTGAAAATCAGACAAATCGAAAAATATTTAATGTGAGTTATTGCCCTTGATCTTGAAAACAATTCTCAATAGATTTTTAAGAAACTTGGTTGAATCACCCGAACAATATTTAATATGGGTTATTGCCCTTGTTCTTAAAAATCTTTAGCTCGTAAAACTCCAGAAGACAAAACTCTAGACTGATTTAGACGAAATTTGTTGAAAATCAAAAAAAAAAAGGTCTTTGAATAAAGCTTGTGCGTTATAAAACTCTCGAAATATTGACTTGGTCGTCATTACAATGGTGGGCGTGTTACATCGAGCCTACATTAAGGAAAATACTTAAGTTGTCAATAAATCAAACACCTTCGAGTTCCATGGAATGCTATATTAATTTCCATTGGTGTATTGTCTATATACACCAATATCGTTAATAGCGCTGGGTAAATGGCAGTTAGTAAAGTTTTTGATGAAAACCAGGACCTAAGCAGACTGAACAGGGAATACTACAGCTGCAAGAGGAATTCCCCTGTCTCAATGATTTTACTTACAATGGTAAAATATATCAGCAAACCCTAGTATACTTTTCATACGTCAACCTTTTCATGGCAGAGTGAGAACGTAGGATATTACCATATTGTCAGTTTGACCCATTGTTACGGAGGTTTTCTGAGAATATTTTAATGGTGTGGATAGAACAGTTTTGGTAATTCTTGAAATAATAATCACAATCTATCCATAAAAGTTACTGCCAACGATAGTTACATTTTCTATAAAACCCTGCCTACAAAGAGAATCCATAGCAGAAAAGAATTAATTGGAAATAAGGTGCATTTAAAAAAACCTGATAATCGTCAACTCTTGTACAAGAGATTATTCCACCTTTCATTAAGAATCGACGCATCAAGGAGCATCTAATGTGTCAAAAATCGTATGTAACGATTAAAGAAATGACCACAACAATATGTAGGAGAAACGGAAAGTAGTTTACGAACTCGATTTACGGCTCAGATATCAAATTATAGAAAGACAAGTCTGTTTCTAATCATTTTAACTTGGACGACCATTCTCGACCATTCATCATACGATCTTATCCTAACCCCATTGGGCTCGTAGTTCCCTTATCAATAATCTAACTTTTAGGTATGTATGTAAATCTCTGTTTGACAATACACAAATACATCGTAAAATAAAAATTAGACATTCTTATACCGGATGACAAGCCGCCCCCACCCCGCCCCCCCTTTCTATAGCATAAACTAAAATAGATATGAGCAAAAATAAAAATGATCGGAACAGGTAATTATCTTAGTTCTCTCTGAGTATTGAATATTTTTTGTGGCCTCCATTTGTATGTGCAAAAAATCACAAAAAGCTAGTATCCAACTCAAAATCATTTTCCTAAACAATTTGGTCATCTCTCTTCGCATGTCGTTGGATCCTGCTTAGATACAACCAATGTTTTCAGACACATCGCGATACAGGAAGCTATCTGGAAATTAACTTGACGAGAAGAAATCGAAGAACTTGCTGTGTCTGAAGCATGGTACTTTAACAGATAACACATTTATCGGGATGTATGAAAAATTCGCAATTCCATGACTGCCTTTTTCTATGGTGATCCACATTAAACCTTTGGCTGTGAACGCAGCAAAATTCCCATTCAGGAAATTTCCAACTTGGCGAAAACGCATGTCAGCACGGATATCATCAAACTTTCCAAAGTCATTTTTAGAATCTAGCTTCCCAAAAAAATGAAAAATTCAAATCTTAATGAAATGAATCACAAATCCAAATTCTCTCTGTTGTTCAGTGATGTTGCATTTGTTTCATGAGATGAAATGGCTTGATATCAGATTTTTTAAACTCATGATATACAGTAATCTTTTTTTTATATATAACCATTTACATTTTGCAATAGCACACTAACAATATCGAAGAATTAAGGGATACATAATAACTTTTTTAACTATTTATATATGGGATGTTTTTCTTTTGCTTCCATCAACATTAGCGGTTATAAAGCAATATTTGGATTTGTTGTTTAGGGAGTTTGCGTTAATTCAGCAGCCATCTTAATCATTTTCAAAGTCTCTTATTTCACTATTCACATAATTATTATGGATCTTAAAATATTGTCATATTTAACAATTTAGATGATTTTGGTTATGGATACTTTCACGTATTTTACATAATTTATGAAGAACTGGCACAACTGATGATACACTGACCACTGATCAACTGACCAAGAACATCAGTAAAATCTTGGCCGTCTTTTGACAATAATATTTTTCAATACCCCAAGATCTTGTCATGTTGGGCTGAGAATACAAGTCTGTCTATGACCAGACATAAATTCTTTTCTGATCGAGATATTTGAAAACTATTTTGAACACCAAATCCCTTCGTTTGTCAGAAACTCTTTTAAGTGTAAGTGTTGATCGGTTGATTTTAGAGCGTTGCCCAACTAAACGAAAACCTTCTAACACTTCTTTTGTATAGTGATACAGCCAGG